AGGGTTTTAGGGTTTAGGGCTTCAGTTTTATGGCCGGTTGCAACCATTGTGCTATCATCCGCGCACATGATACCGGACCCATTCCGTGTGGCTGCTTTATATCTTTACAGACCCTAACCATACTCGTGTGAAGATGTCGCATTCGGCATGGGCTGCGTGAGCTGGCGTGGACGGGCGCGGGCTGGGACTTTAATCCTGGTTGCTATCCTCTCCATCTTCGTCGGGAAGGCCCCAGCAAGAGTCACTATACAAGGTTTACATTGTTTTGGCATGGGGTTTGCGGGTGTTCAGTGTTTGAAGGTTCTGGGACGAAGAGTTTTGGTGGTTTGGCTGTTTAGGTTTAGTTTTCTGGTGTAGGCTCAGGGTATGACAGCGAGTTTGCTTATATAGGCCGTACCTCACGGTGTGGGGTTTATCTAGAATCCTAAGAAGGCCTTTGCCTTGAGCGACATGCCCATCTCGAAGGTGAAGTGTAGCCCCTGCAAATCTTGCGGTGTGCTGCTAGGGTGCAGGCTCGAATACGGGGGTCTGGATAATTACAGTTACAGAGAGGGAAATCTCACCATAAACAGTGCTACTATATATTCCTCACGGTTCCCGAGTACAGCATGAGTGCACCATGGTATCCCCCCAAATTGGATTAAACGTGTGGCTCCGAGACCCCTTCGTAGTAACCTTACAGACCCCGAACCCTATTCCAAATATTAAGACCCAGTTAAAGTTCCAAGGCACCTTATATTCGGGATGGGAGATCAGGTTTGGGGTGTACTCAACTTGACAGGGCGTCGGGAGGAAAGTCAAGCAGTGCTGAATACATTCCCGCAAGTAGAGTTTCATACAGGCAGACGGATTCCAGCGTGTGCATGCAGAATTGCTGCATTCGCATGATGTGGCTGGTGCAATAGCACCATGAGGCTGGTAAAGTAAACAGCACGGCGTCTATGATTTGGGTGACTGGGGTCGTGATCCCAGTTACGACGCGTCGTGCTTTCAAACTATCTCAAATATGTGAACCTGGGTACAAAAAGACTGTGGCGTACTTTGGGTCTATGTCCAATATCCTTGCGAATGTATGATCTTCTTTTGTTTCCTCTTGTCAAGAGACATACACTAGCTATCAAAACAGAAATAAATAACGGAAACTTCTGAAACATTTACATATCTAATTGTTTTGGAAAGTTTTGCATAATACTACCCTGGTGCGCTGTATCGAGAAATGCTGGCGTTCACGGCGGCCCATAAAGTAATGGTGCAGTAATGACAAGGAGATACCACGAGACTGAGAATGAAATTATGGCTAAGAACAAGAATCAGAATCAGAGCAATAATATGAATACAACGAGAATCCAACTGCGAATAAGACTAAGATTGAAAATGAGACTGAAAGAACCTGAATTGTAGCAGTAGCAATCATAAGAGCAATTTGTGATCATGTTAGGGGATATTTCGAATATTGTTGAATCGCAACCCTAAGGGTCCTTGTACGGCCTACTTGAAGGCCAACGTATGTACTGTTTGCGTACATGGACTCTTCGGGCAATACACGGAAAGGTCGCCTTCGTCCCGGAGATGTCAAAGTCTTGCAGTTCCTGGAAGAGCCAGCGTGGTGCTCACTGGACGCGCTCCTCCAAGCCGGTGTTGGTGGCCGTGAACCAAAGTCGCCTGCCTTGATCAGTGCGGCTTTAAAGAGTTTGGGGTTTTACCTAAGGTTTTTCATTTTCAAGAGTTAAAGGTTGGGTTTTTAAGGCTTTTAATTCATCTTTAAGAGTTCAGTTCTTTGAGGGTTGTAAAATTGATGGCTTCAGAGTCCCGGGTCTCAGCGGGCCCTAAGGCTAAGATTTTGTAGGGTTGAGGGCTCGAGGTTAGAGCGTATTGGGTTTGAGGTGGTGTTGGAGGCATTAAGCAGTGTTGATCGTTGTTTGTGTTTACGGTTTGAGGTCTGCAACCTTAAAACCCTAAACCCTAAACCCTAAACCCTAAACCCAACCTTCTCAACAAGAAACATCCGGCAGGCCCGAGCAATTCGAAGCTGCATCGTATGGCCTCCATCGCGAGCTCTTCCAGTGACAGCCAAACCGGGATGTGACTGGGCCCGGAAATTTCATAAAACCTAAACCCTAAACCTGAAACCCTAAACCCTAAACCCTAAACCCTAAACCCTAAACCCTAAACCCTAAACCCTAAACCCTGAACCGAAACTTTAGGGTGTGGTGCTAGGGTTTTATCGCAGAGGACCTAGAACTTTGCCTGGGATTTTGTCGTCCTCGGACCTGGCAGAAGGTTTACCCTAAGGGTCCATGTACTCATATAGCATATACATTCGCCTTAATGTAGTTCCTATTTGGGTACTTTGGGGTCTAAGTATATGCTATATGGGTACATGGACCCTTAGGGTTACCGTTTAGGATCCAGAGGGGTGCATGTTCCGGGTTGACTGCTTCACGGTGTAGGGGGGTTAGGGTTTAAGGCTTAGGGTTCAAGGCTTAGGGTTTAGGGTTTAGCATTTGGGGCTTAGGGCTTAGGGTTTAGAGGCTTCGTAACGAGTCCTCCAGGGAGTTACTTGTAGGTGTTTCATACACCCGCGGTTGCAAACTTCGGGTGGTTCAAGGTCAGTCTGGCTAAAGCCGTTCAAAGGTAGTATTAGGGAGACAGGGACCTTATTGAGAGGGTCTTTCTCCCCATGATTTCCCCTAATCCTAATTCCCATTTGTGGTTTGCTATGATTTTAGCATGGTTACGGGTCACGGCACTGAGGTTTAGGGATCTAATCTTACCTATAGTCTCCATTGTCTTTCCTTTCTTGTGGTTTAGCCTATTTCTATTTAGGCTCCTATAAGGTAACCCCCGAAAAGGAACTACAAGGGAGACTATAGGTAAGCCTGACAGAATCCCACAGCTAAAGGGTCCAAGTACTAATATGGTAGCTACTTTGTGGGTATTTGGGCCCCCAAAGTATATACTAACCCTAAACCTATAAACCCTAAACCCTAAACCCTAAACCCTAAACCCTATACGGTAACTTGGACCCTTTGAGATAGACATGCTCAATGGGGGCAGCCTCTCCTCTCGTACTCGAAGATCTGTAGGTCCTGTGCAGATCGGGAACATTCGATGACCTCAAAAATGACTCCTAGACCCTAAACCGTCCCATTCGATGTTAAACTCAGCTGGAACCTGCCTTTGTTACCTCAACAGGCCTCAATATCTTCATTACCCTATAACTAACTGACCCAAGCAGTCGTGTCTCAGGAGTGTCCCGGATGCTGCAGCGATCATCGCAGGGACCGCCCTTGGGGGTGGATTCCTGGCGCTTCCGAGTGTGACGGAACCATGGCTGCGCTAACGCATCTTCTGAGCCAGGTTCATTATTGAGCAGATTTTCGAGTTTAGGGTTTAGGGTTTAGGGTTTAGGGGATTTTAGAGTTAAGGGCTTTTGGTTTTGGGGTGCGAGGTTCCAGAGAGCTTCCCCTCACAAGCACTGTTGAGTGTTTCAGCGATTTTGGAGAGGCTTGGGGTTGAAGGGTTTCTATTCGTAGGTTAGGTTTAGGGTTTAGGGTTTAGGGTTTAGGGTTTAGGGTTAAGGGGATTAGGGTTTAGGGGTTTAGGGGTTTAGGGGTTTAGGGTTTAGGGTTTAGGGTTTGTGTCATGTTAGGTTTCTTTCAGCCTGCTTAGCTCTTTGGGTTGTGCACAAGGTTTCCCGGCCGCTCAACACAAAGCTCCACCACGGCTCTTGTTCAATAACTGCTCACTACAAACGACCCACAAGAAGGACCTGAGCAAACGACCCAAGTGGAATGTAGACACGCAAGGGTCGCGCCTAATTAGTTTCTTATGGGCATCTAGAGCTTTGGCTTATTGGTAGGTGTGAAGAATTTAAACCCCAAGCCCTAAACCCTAAACCATAAACCCTATGAGCCCTATAGCTCGGACTTGGCGCTGAAGTCCAAAAGCCTGATCCGTTCACGCACTTTGTCCTCAAGCGGTTGCTTCCAGACCAGCATGCATTGAGTCAGGCTTTCGTTCTCATTCCTCTAAACCCTAAACCCTAAACCCTAAACCCCGATCCCTCCTAAGCCGTTTGTTTCAGTCCGATCAAGTCGCCGGCGCCTTGCCACCGAAGACCCCAAAGGCGCCCAGAGCACAGAAATGGTCCTCGAAACCAGAAGCCATGTAGCAAGTATGGTTCCTTAGGCACCTCGGGACTATCCTGAACCCTGAGACTTCCTTTAAATCCTGAACCCTGAGACTTCCTTTGCTTCAGTGGCTTTATCCTCCCCGGCATCCCTTTTTGTGGGCAGCATTTGTGCACCAGATTAAGGTCCTGCAACGGGAAGTTTATTCTAAGCAAAAGCGCCATTCCCAAGTCGTAAATCCATAAACCCTAAATCATGTAGGCCCACCCTCGACACGACATTTTGAGCCAGGAGCAGTTTTGTAGAAGCCGTAAGAGGAATCCCAACCTTAAACCTGAGTGAAGGCGCCTAAACCCTCAACCCGATTCCTAGGGCTCCAAATAGCCCAAAGTAGGTACTATGTACAGACTTTAGACCCCAAAGTAGGTACTATTTGAATACTTGGAGCCCTAAAAGAAGCCGAGCTAAGGCGCCTATGGGTGTCATGCCAGCCATCTTCGGTCTGATCGTGGTCTGGGCTTTCCTTGCGGCAGTCGGCCTGGTATATGCAGAGGCTTCAGCAGCTGGGATGAAAGAACTGTCTGGTGCTTAGTAGGGAATGGGGGAATGGGTTATAGGGACTGCTATAAGGGACCTTAA